CATACATGCACGAGGCTCAAAGAACAATAAAAAAGACCGTGCTGCTTTTATGTTATTTAAGCTAAACCACAGCCTGAACTTCATGTTATTCAACTCCCATCAGCCCCAGCAAACATGACCAATGATCAGGGGTGATGGAACTTCTGGAAAGGACAATATTGGCTGACTTGGATCCTGATGGATTGGACAAAATGTCTACTAGTCCAACTTCTTGTTTCTCATAGTGGCCAACTAGATGTCTCTATGAAACCCATAACCAGAGCAACAGGTGCTACTGAAGGAGCTTGCAGGTGTAATCTCAGAGCTTCTGTGTAAAATCTTTGAGAATTCTTGGAGAACAGGTGAGGTCCCTGAAGGACTGGAGGTGAGCAAATCTTGTCCCCATCTTCAAAAGTGGGGGGAAGAAGATCCAGGTAACTACCAACCGATCAGCTTGACATCAGTACCAGGAACAGATCATTCAACAGTCAGCCTGTGAGAAGTTAGGAAAGGAAGCTGTGATTACTAAGACCCAGCATGGGTTTCTCAAAAACAAGTCATACCAGATGAATCTCATCGCTTTCTTTGATAGAGTTACAAGTTCGGTGGATGGGGCGGGGATCTATTTTTTCTCTGTCTTTCTTTCTACACACACAGCCCTCCCCTCACCAGTATTATTTCACTCTTCCAGATGAGTTGGTGGCCTTATGTTTCTTCCCTGCCACAAAGGAATTCTGTAGTTACCTCTAGCTCTGCAAGCTTTGTGCTGTTATCTTTTCTGCTCTTCTAGGAAAATGTGACATCTTGATCCTCAATGAAGAGGGCATTGCAGAAACTTTCCTGCTTAGCTGTTTCCAGAATTGTGCCCTGGCTGAGGCTTGTTTATGAGGCAACTTCAACTGTTTAAGATATGAAAAGCCAGCCTTGACGGGAGTGGATATGACACAGTATAAAGGCTGAATTTATCAGAGCAAATGTGCCTAAGAGTGATAAATAAAACACTACTTAAATTTCAAACACATCCTTAAACAGCACAGATATGAAACTAATATGACAGTTCTTCGTCTTTTGTCAAGACAGCTGCATTCAAAAGATCCTTTTTTAATAGAAAGGAACAGAAGTGAAATCTCTGGAAATTGTATAATGATTATATCTCAGAATGATGGCAGCAGGGGGGTGGGGAAATAAAGTCTCTCAGAGCAAAACCTGATTTTACATTAGAAAGGTGCTTTATACCTAGTCAGGTGATTGGCCCACCCAGTTCAGTCTTGAAAATGGGACCTACTGAATGCAGAGCAGAAAATGGGACCTACTGAATGCAGAGCAGGTTCTCAGAGTTACAGCCCTTCCTATGGTATTTATGATTATTTACATTCACCAGTTGCTTTACACCATAAAGAGTCCCAAAGTGACTTGACAAGATAAAATACAACACATGAAATATCACTACCACGCGACCCACTGAGCACACTCCAGGTTATGCAGCTAGCTCTACCAAGGGAAGTGTTGCTATCAGTACAAGAAACTGCAACAGAATAGGCCACCCATAGATAGGGCTACAGAACACTCATTTAGCCATTTGAAATATGTATCTATTTGGCACAGCCCCTCTAGAGAAATACACATGCAAAATATATGTCATTTTTCTCCCAAAGCCACACAACTCTTGGCAATAGGCTCGCCACCCCAAGGACCTTGCTATGGTTATGCTGTTTATCACCTCTGCAGTTTTCTATTGCTCCTCATGACAGATAAATTATAACTACTTCCCAAAACTCTTACTATTAATAGGTTAGATTTACTATTATTATTGCAAGCATAGATGCCTACTCTTTGATTTTGGTCTTTAACGAGAGACCACTGAGAGGCAGGCAGTAGCTTTTCAGTGAACTGCAGAGACCTGTGAGTCATTAATAAGAGGGACAGAAGCATGTTCTGCACATATACTACCATAGATACATCTACCCATTGTTAAGATTGCAGAAGGGAAGGACGTCTCTTACAAAGACCTGTTTTTTGTTGTCTGATGAAGAGGTATATATCCTTTAGAACATCCAAATTCTTTGCCAAGGCTTTGCAAATTCGTGTAAAGGGCGAATGGGAAATGATTTATCCTGTAAAGCTCAGGGAGTAGAAATGTAAACCACTATTATTAGCAGTATTCTTGTTATTATTTGTAATGTGTGCAATGGCTGCTCGTTAAACACAATAAATCGAACTGAACTACCATGGATAGTTCAATTTTCCTTTTAGGTCAAGGAAATGCTATGCTGGAGAAGCAGGAGAAGCCGTTGATTGACTTTAGTGGGATTTACTTCTTGAAACCTTTAGGTCACCACTTCAAAGCCTTGGACAGCCTACCGAAGCTTTGACAGCAACTCCATGCTGGAGCTAATATTCAGATCAAGGGTGGGGAACCTGTGTCCCTCCTAGATGTTTCTGGGTCTACAACTCCAATCATCACTGATCATTTACCATGTTGGCTGGGGCTTCTAAGAACGCAAGAAGATCCCTGCTGGTTCAGGCCAATGACCCATATAGTTCAGCATCCTGTTCTCCCAGTGGCCAACCAGATGCATCTGGGAAACACTCAAGCACTTTCCCCTCCTGTGATCTGGTATGTAACTGGCCTTCAGAACCACTGTTGGCTTCAGCTGTGGAGGCAGAGCACAGCTCATGGGGCTAGTAGCTATTTATAGATTTCTCCTCCATGAATTTGTCCAGTCCTCTTTTAAAGCCATCTAACTATGTCATGGGTAGGCAAACTAAGTTCCGGGGGCCAGATCCGGCCCAATCACCTTCTAAATCTGGCCCACGGACGGTCCGGGAATCAGCTTGTTTTTACATGAGTAGAATGTGTCCTTTTATTTAAAATGCATCTCTGGGTTATTTGTGGGGCATAGGAATTCATTCATATTTTTTTTCAAAATATAGTCCAGCCCCCCACAAGGTCTGAGGGACAGTGGACCGGCCCCCTGCTGAAGAAGTTTGCTGACCCCTGAACTATGTGCTTCGTGAAAAGTACTTTCTTTTATCTGTCCTTAATTTTCCAACATTAAGCTTCATGGGGTTGTAGTCTTATGAGAGAGGGAGAAAAACCTTTCTCTATACACTTTCTATATATACCTGGGTTCCTTTAGACAACACAGTTCACTACTCTTTCCTGTATCCAGAGGCCAGTATACATTACTGAATCTATCCTGTTCAAGATAGATTTTCTTTGCTGGAGCAAAGGCATCCTAGGTTTTCTCTCGAAGGAAATGCAGAGAAGGGATGGGCCTGCCCTTGCTTTGTCTCACCTGCACAGGTGAGGCCACACCCACCTCTGGTCACATGTGGAGGAAGTCCGTCCCCAGGAAGTTTACCTGCTTGCTGGACAGACATCCCTCCCATGTTTTAACATGTACACTCTAGGAATGTTGTCATTGACTGCTCCTGTGTTTACATCCCACATCTCCATGCCATGCATAATTTTATAAAATTCCACCATCTTGCCTCTTACATCTTTTCTAAGCTAAAAAGTCCTAAATGCTGCAACCTTTCTTCATCAGGTAGCTGCTCCATCCTCTTAAACATTTTGGTTGCCTTTACCGAACCTTTTCTAACTCAGCGATATCCTTCTTGAGGTGAGGCCACCAGAACATTACACAGTATTCCAAATGTAGTCACACCATAGATTTTTATAAGGAGATTATGATGCTGGCAATTTTATTTTCAATTCCTTTACTGATGATCCCTAGCATGGAATTTGCCTTTTTCACAGCTGCAATACATTGGGTCGACATATTCACTGAGCTATCTACGATGACTTCAAAGTCTCCAGGTCAATCACCGCCAGTTTAGACCCCATGAAAATATGTTTTCCTTGCATCACTTTACACATGTTTACACTGAATTGCATTTGCCATTTTACCACCCAGTCACTCTGTTTGGAGATCTTCACCATCACTTTTTGTTTTAATGACCCGACATTTGCACTTGCTGTACACATCAGAGAGAGGGCAAGGACATCTTCATTCAACATCCATTGAGTGATTTGTTTTTCCATGCCTGCAAACCCTTGGACTCCTATTAAATGACTCAGGACCACAACACCTCAAGGACCGCCTCTTTCCATATGAACCTACCTGGACCCTGAGATCATCTTCTGAGGCCCTTCTTCATGTGCCTCTTCCTCGAGAGGTCTTGAGGGTGGCAACACGAGAACGGGCCTTCTCTGCAGTGGCTCCCTGTCTGTGGAATGCTCTCCCCAGGGAATTTCACCTGGTGCCTTCACTATACACCTTTAGGCGCCAGGCAAAAACGTTCCTTTTTAACCATGGCCTTTGGTTGATTCGATTTACATCCTATGCCCTTTTAAAATGTGGGGGTGGTTGGGTTGCTGTTTTTATTTTGATTATGTATTTTGTGGTTTTATATTTGGATTTTATTATGTGAACCGCCCTGAGACCTCTGGGTATAGGGCGGTGTATAAATTCAATTAATAATAATAATAATGCTGTCGTCTGCACATGCACTGACATCTGTGCATGCGTAATGGGATATCTCAAATGTTCACACTTCAGCTTACGTTTTCAAATCAGATGGAAGCTGGTTTGAGGGTAAACTTATCAGACAGCAGTATTTCTCAAGGAACGACAGGATACATATGGATTGTGCCTAATGTCATGTGTACTCAGCTTCAAACACCAGCTGTGGGAGCACACTGGAGCCAGAGTAAATGGTAATGTGTACACAACCTAAGTCTGGGGGTGTTTTCAAACTTTTCTGCTGCTGCTTCTCTTTGCGAAAGCAGGGAGACCTTATGCAAGAGAAGCTGATCTGGACATAACGATTCCTTGCTTATAATAATGACTGCATTGACTTGTATTATTTATGCTTAATGACTGCTTTAAGCTGATTATTTCTTTGGTGGGGTGGGGCAGAACAGTGAGGGGGCCTGTCCTTCCCTTTCAGGTAAACAGGACTTTATGACAGGAAACCAGAGCAGGCTAATGTAAACAACGTATTTTGCCTACCTTTGTGTTTCAGCTCAGTAGCTCGATACAACCACATTTCTCCACAGACACGTCTTCCCTTATTGAAAGGTAATGGTGGGAACCAACCTAAGGACATGCAAAATGCAAGATTTTTTAATCAATGAGAAGCTATTAATTTAACCAACTCTTCCTGTAATAATATTGAGACAGACTGTCTGCCTGTTTTTACATTATAGCTAGCTTTGCAATCTGTGTGGAACGTAATGAGGTGTGTAATTTTTGTGAATTTATTGATTGTGAATAAGTAGTAAGAATTTAAAGCTGACAGATTGTAGCACTTTTCTCACTTAGTTCTTTAAAAATTAGCTCGTTTAGTATCAGCTGTTGACTTTTGCCACCGCATATGGAATTCATTTTGATGGGGGGTTTTTTGGCAGGTGGGGGGAAGATAAGTTATATTCGAATAGAGTCTTGCTCTTATTCAACAGATCAGGGAAAAGCTTGAAATGTATGTAAATTCTCCACTGCTGCTTCAAGTGCTCCACTTAACAGCATGATCCTATGCATGCTTTCTAAAAAGTAAGTCTCATTGTGCTTACTCCTAGGAAAAGGAAAACAGGATCACTGCCTAAATAATGGAATATAGGGGTACAGCCTGGTGGCATTACAAGTGTTGGCTTAATAGTGTATAAAATAATGGATGAGCTCATCTGTACATACAGAACATAAGATGAGTCTATTGGTTCAGGCCAATGGCCCATCTAATCCAGCATCTCCCAGTGGCCAACCAGATGCCTATGGGAAGTTTGAAAGCTGAACATAAACAACAGCACTCTACTGTTCGAGCAACAGACCCTTGCTCCAAATCTCTTATTTATGTCACATTAGGCTGAAAGAGATGAGAAATAAAACCATATTTGTGGTGGCAACCTCGTCATGAAACTCCCTTTCCTGGGGAGCCTTTCCAGACAGACACCTTGTGATTTTATTGATTTATTTTGACAAATATTGGCAGTCTATTAACAATGTTCTCTGGCTGGTTCAGTTCTCCGAATAGGGAGTTAGCTACCTCTGGTCTAGTTGTAATGGTCTAGTTGTTACCTGCTGTCAGGGATTGGGCTCAAGAGAGGGAGATGGAGGAGGAGTAGTGGTGGAGATCACGCCCCCCTTCTCCTGACGCTGCAGGAGAGGGGGAAGGCAGCGCTGAATTACAGCAGGGCTTTGAGGAGTTTGAGGAAGGTCACAGCTCAGAAATAGACAAACAGAGAAGTTGGGCAGTGTTGGAAGAATAAGGGGGTGCTGCAGAGGGGCAACTAAATGACACGTTGTCACTGGAGAGCATTTCTGATCCCCCTTCTCCCAGAATGCGACGTTTGTTAAGAGTACAGGAACAAAGGACTCAGAGACATTTGGCCACAAGTGGCCACCGTAAGGGAAGATGCTGTTGCTAGGATGGAGGGAGGAGGAGCCCAGTTTGGAGCAACACCATTGTTGAGGCTTGTTGCGTTCTTTTGCCTCTCGCTATTCGGATTGAATAAAACTCATTAAAAATACAGTCATACCTCGGGTTGCGAGCGTGATCCGTGCGGGAGGCACGTTCGCAACCCGCAGAGCTGTGTCTGCGCACGCATGTGATGCAATTCGGTGCTTCTGAGCATGCTCTTGACATCATTTTGTGCTTCTGCGCATGCAGCGAAACCTGGAAGTAACCCATTCCGGTACTTCCGGGTTTGGCGCAGTCCACAACCCGAAAATGTGCAACCCGCAGAGTTCGCAGCCCAAGGTATGACTGTACCTTGTTTTCTCTGCTGCAACTGGGAGAGGAATAGCTTTCCTAAGCCTTGGCAGAGCCTTGACACCTGCTTTACCCCTTCAGGCAGGGAAACATGAAGAAGGACCTCTGGTCAAAATGTGGACAGGTGGAGGTGATGCTTCAGGAAACTTGGCTCCAAGTCATTTAGAAAATGGGGCAGTGGGAACAGTTCACAGAAGCTGACAGCATCAAATTTGCGTAGGAGTGGGTGAATTTGTCCATTTTGGTTTCTCTTGTTTTCACATTGTTCCAGTCTTAACATTCAGTTCTCCACATTTCCACCTCAGTCTGAGTTTTCTATTTTTAAATCATTTCTCCTAACATGCACAAATTTTTTTTGGTATGTGATTTTGCCTATTACGAACATTTTTGCAAAATATTTCCCCTAGCACATGCTAAAAACATTTGTGTTTAGATAAGCCTACCCCGACGCTTAGAAAGCTGAGGTAATTTCAATCTGGTTTTGTATTTTAGCTTTTGTACGTTTTAAAGTAGGGGTTGTGGGTTTTTCTTCATTGCAATGTTTTTGCTCTCAAAAAAATGCTTTGACATTTATTTAATTTTTTACAAGCAAGGAGTGCATACATTCTATGAAATAATAAATAAATATATATATGTATGCATGTCATTTTCACGAATATACGGTACACATTTTTATGCACACTTTACCACAGTACATGGATCTTTGTACACATTACTTGTCTGGAGAACTGCACAGCAAAATTCAGAGAAGTGTGGATTTTGAAGGATGGTTGCATTTCAGCTCTTTTACTGTTTCAGAGAGCATGAGTTGCGTAGATTTGCCTTTAAAAGTGAATCAAATTTCTCCTTCATTGCTAGGTATGACACACAAGGCAATATCAGCAAGCCAGCTCTAGTTTAGAGCATAAAATGATTCCAACTAATAGCTGAATAGGCAGACTTTAAAAAAATATGAGCACATACCTAATGTATAACTACATCATTTTAAGAAGAAGATTTTCTAAATCAGTTTAAACTGCTCCCCCCCCATCCATGCTAAGTTATGGCATATTTCTACAATAAACTTAAAAATAAGTATTCAAAGAAGGAACCTGCTGTCAGCAGATGGTTACAGGATTTTGCAGTTCTTGATTGATCTATTATCTCTGCAATATTTCTCTGATCTTTTCATCTGCATTCTGCACACCATCTAACACCTTATGACATTATGTGTGATAGCTGTGGTACTTCTATAGCTAGCACTTATATTTTCTGACAGGTACAGATCTGTCTCGAAACAATTTTTGCAAAGTCTTGAACATTTTAATGTATTTTTGTCAGGATTTTCAAACCTGATATTAAGTGAGTAGTCAACAGCTGTTGATTCATATTGTGTGCGCGTGCGTGTTTTAAAACACACACACACTTTCTTTCTTTTCTTTCTTTTGCTTTTTGATGTATCTTTTCTCAGATATCAAGGAATGCCAGCACAGCTTTGCAATTAACTCATATATTACTTTCTGCATAATGCACTTGAAGTCCTAATTAAGGAGTTTAATCAGATAGAGTTAGCTCTGCTTTTGTCCATTGAACTCATGCACTCTGTTGGTAGCTGAGTGGTACACCATGTGTTTATTTAAGCACCACATGTATGCCCAGTATGTTTTCATTTGTGTAAGGGACATACATGCAGAAGTATGTTGTCACGATTTATTAAATACACTTATATGCTGTCTTTTATCATGATGAAATAAGGGCTTTAACTCATTTGTGGAGTATCTGCTTTGCTTGAAAAAAAGTCCCAGTTTAAATCCCTGGCATCTCCAAGCAGGTTTGGAGAGATGGTAATCCAAAATCCTGGAGAACCCCTGGGCCAATAGTCTGACTTTTGTATAAGGCAGCTAGGGTTTTAGTGTATTTGCTTGAAAGCAGAGCTGTTAAAAAGACATAATCAGCAGATCAAGTTGATGGACAATGCCGAAATGGCAAAATTAACTGGGAAGCTCAGGAAACAAGAAGACAAGAAATTGAAAAAAGAAAGGGAAATGTTTATAATGTATATACAAAATCATTGCAAACAGGTTAAAACATTAGCAGGATTTTAAATAGACTTGTCATGTAATAGAAACTATGGATAATTTAGGAAGATGAAAAAAATGGAAAAGTATTGATATATGCAAATGAAAACAGAATTAAGAGGACCCATGGATGGGATGGCAGGAAATCAGGAGATGCAGAGTAATCTCGATATGTGAATGTGTATGACATTTTGATGTAACTTTTTCTTTTTTCTTTTTCTTCCCTTTTCTTTTTTGTTCTTCTTTCTTTCTTTTCTTTCTTTTTGAAAATCAAATTAATTTTTTTTAAAAAGACATAATCAAACTTTGTACTTTTGTCTCTAGTTGTTCTGAAATAAAAGTGAGGTCAGAGTTGCTGAAATACTTTTTTGTGAAATCTCTGGCGCTTCCCCTTTTTTCATGATGGGTTATTATTTTCTCATAAACATATACAAGTGCAGATCACTTAATATCAGTAGACAGAGGAATAACATGGTGGAAATTGTACCGCTGATGAGCTAATCAAAAAGATTTAACGAGATTGCCACTGAGTCACAGATTCGAGGTTGCCTGTTTACATGACAAATTAAAACTGAACAGGCTACTGTACAATGCTGACCTGATATATTTGAAAGAGCACTAAAAGAATAAGCAGGTAAAACTATTATGAGATGAACAAGAGTTAATGTGACCAGGCATATAATATAAACTACATCTAAAAAATCTGCTGGATATAAATCAATGGGTCATGAAAATTTAAGGAAATTTAACTTGCCTAACTCCCTTTCCTATTTAATAGGATCCATTAAATAGGAAACAGTATAGCTAGCTAATGAAAAGAACACCAAAGTTATCACGTTCTGTTGTGTCCTCCCTGGGTCCTTTTGTCCTTTGATTGCACTGGTAGATAATATTATTTTGTTCCCAAGGAAATATGTCCCTTTGATTAGGTTGTAGATATTCTCTCATTTGTCATTGTTCTATCGAGCTCTGCCATATAACAGCAGGAACCCTTGATTATTTAATTGCTTGTAAGAACTCATTAAATCTTACTATCAATCATGGGACATATGGTAAATATCACCCAATGGTACAAGAGATTGTTACAGAGACCTGTCACTAGGGCATACCATTTGCTTTTATATTATGAGTCTATTGTTTGGTTGCCCGGCCACAATTATTTTTAATTACTAATGATTTACAGAGAATAGTTCATCTACTGATATGAGCATGTTCTTAGAAAGAACACAAAAAACACTGGCAATTTAAAAAGTAGG